AAAAAAAGAACATAAAATACCCATGTATGTTGTCGGTCTGTCTGTACTGTGCATGTAGACAGGCTGTGCCTCCAACCTCCAGGAAGCCACAGAACTGCTACCAATGAGACAGTCACATCCCCACTCCCATCAGCCATTCCTCTGTGATCCAGCCAGGCCCATGAGATACTTACACAGAGCTGGCAGAGTGAAAGCCACTATTTATAGAAAGCAGATGATACAATATTTGAGAGAAACAATGGAATTACACTCCCATAAGTTACCCACCCTCATTCTTATAGCTGAGGGTTTCAGAATTCTGCATATACCATCGGCCACCTGAAAATTGCACAAATCTATCTTAGCAGAAGTCTAGTCAGAATGTTCCTTAGAAATGAGGATGGAAAGGACCCGTCTCACGTACTTTGAACATGTTGTCAGAATGAGCTATCCGCTGATGAGAAAGGCATCATGCTTGGCCCAATAGAGGGTAAGTGAAAAAGAGGAGCTGGACTGGCACATTGGCTCCACAATGGGCTTGAACAGAGTGAGGGTGAGGCTGGCGCAGGACCAGGCAGTGTTTTGGTCTGTGGTCTAATGAGGTCGCTATGAGTTGGAACAGACTCAGCAGCACCCTAACAACAACATCCCGATGCTGCTGGGCAGACATGACGTAGTTCAGGTCAGAGGCTGGGTTCAGGCCCCCTCTGCCTCCAGAAGCCGCCCACATTACCAGGGGCAGGTCTGCATGCTCCTGAGGCTTTGCCTCTGCTGCCGGCTCCAAGCATGCTGTCCAGGTCCGCGAGGTTCTCCGGCTGCCATGCCAGATGGGTCATGCTGCCAGAGGAGGGCAGTTGTGCTGCCCCTGCACAGGGCACACAGGCTCCTGCCCTCCACAGGCAACAGTGACAGCTCTTTTATCTCTGCTGGAAAGCCTCCTGCCCAAAGGTGATCAGCACTGTTTCCTAGGACAGGCAAGCCCACCACAGCCATCTTGCTGGGAGAGTCCCTCTTCCTCACCCTCTCACAGTGTCTTCAGGGTTACAACTCACGCTTCTGGGTCTTTAGGGCATTTCTCAGTACAGAGTCCCTGGGTCCAAAGGAAGTGAGATCCCTGTGAGCCTCTGCTGGAAGGGCCCTTAGATAAGCAAGCACCCTGTCAACCCCAAGGCATATCCCTGCCACCAGGAACCTGAGGTGACCGCTCCTCGCCTTGGTTCACAAGTCACTCAATTTGCATAACAAACTGACCAATCCCTTGCAAGACTGTGGCCCATCTGATCATTTTGAGAGTTAGATAGTCACAAGCTAGAACAGCAATTTCTCATACTGCATCTCATTAGAATTCATAATACGAATGGTTATTTTGGTTATATTCAGTTAAGATATATTAATAGAATCCATCTTCAAAAATATCGGGAGAAAAAAGTGAACTTTACTTTTTCACTTAATGAGGAACTGATGCATTTTAATTATGGTGCTGGCAAAGAGTATTGGATATTGCATGAACTGCCAGAATAAACAAATGTTTATTCCCATGGAACCTGATGGTGAAGATCACTAGAGAAAGTACTGGGTATCCTCTTTTGAGTGTTCCCCACAAGTCACACCAAGTACAGCCAGAATGGGCCTTACGAGGAAGGGTGGTGAGACTGCCTCACATGTTGGGCTTGTTCTCAGGAGAGGCCAGCCCTAAAGGACGTCAGGCTTGGACAAATACAGAGTGCGTGAAAAAGAGAAAGCCCCTGAACAGATGGATTGGCACACCGGCTCTAACAATGGGCTCCCACACTTGTGTGGGTGTCACAAGAGGGCCAGGCAGCGTTTCCTTCCGTTGGACAGAGGGTCCCTATGAACGGGAAAAGATCCCCCGGCTCCCAACAGTAAGAAGTTGTTATTGCTAGGTGCCACAGAAATCAGCTGACTCACAGTGGCCACCCACATAACAGAACAAAAACGCTGCCCAGTCTTGTGTCAGTCACACCATCATTGCCTTGTGTGAACCTCTGGGGAGGGCCTCTCTGCCACTCCACATCACGGAGGGTCTTCCTCTCTTTTGCTGACCCTCGACGCTACCTCACAGGAATGTCCTTTTCCAGAGGCTGGATGTGAAGTCTCAAGACCCTTACTTCTGAAGAGCATTCTGCTGTCCTCCTTCCAAGATTGGTGTCCCCTTCTGGCAGTCCTGGTCCTTTCCATACCGTTTGCTACCATGATGCGTATGCATCAAGTCTTCTGAAGTCTCATCTGCCACAGGGATGAGAACATTCAAAGTCACGCATGTGACTTCTCGTAGTGTGCTTCTATTGGACAACCTGACACAGGATCTGCCTCTTCCCCACAAGTCAGGAGAACACTCAAAAGAGGATACCCAGTACTTTCTCTAGTGATCTTCACCATCAGGTTCCATGGGAATGGGGACTCATGGCCAGGAGCATGTCATTTGTGAAGAGCATGTTTCATATTTGAGTTACTATTTTTTTAATCTAAGGAGTATGTAAATTGGGACTGGCAAATTCTGTTCCTGTAAAAATAATCTCAGTCAAAACGAAAAGACTGTACCACTCTCTGGTCTATCGTCTCTAAATCCCTGCTTCCCAGAGCAGACCTTCAGGGCTGTAACCTGATTTCCCCTTCCTCACCTCATCAGTCAGAGGGAGACTTCCAGAAGGAACTGGCTCTGGGCGACTCTCAAGGGTGGGTAAAATGTGGATTGGGTTGTGAGGTCCCAACAGGCAAGAGCCCAATCTTGGTCCCTTTTTGACCCCACATCACCCTGGGATTGGTGTTTGCAAAGAGTAGCCGTTTTTAATAAGGATCAGTTGTATTGGTAGATCTGGTGGTTTTGGGGAGAGAATCCTCTTCCTCTCTCTGTGTGGAGGAAGGCGGTCATTTTATCTGTCAACTGTGCTTCGTCATTCATTCAGTCACGTCGCCGAGTGCCACCAGCTCTGACACTGAGCTGGGTGCCAGGGGTGTGTCAGGAAAGGAGACTGGCACAGTCTTACCTCACAGGGCAGGAAAGAAAGCCCAGACAATGAAGGGGGTAATGGGCACACACGGAAGAGCACCTGGAAACACAGGAGGGAAGTCTACAGGGGAAGCCAGGCTTCTGAGCGACCTTCACTGCTGGGCCTGGGGGAGATGTAACCCATAGTCTAGCACAACAGTGGAGAAAGGGCAGGCGATAACCATGCAGGGTGGCCCTTTTAGGTCATTCTAGAGACTTTTTACTTAATCTTGGAAGCCCCCAAAGCCCCTGGGGTTGCTTTATGGGCAGAAATAGTCTGTTCAGATTTTTCTTCTTCAGATACCACTAGGGAGATAGGCAAGAGAAGTTATGGGGCTTTTCCCCACAGTCCACATACATCAGCCATTCATCAGGGCTGCCACCTGAGTCAAAATGTTACATTCTAACATACTCTTATCCCAGTGAGAAGGCTTACAACTGACTGGCCATATGTTACATGAGGTCCTGGAAGTTACTAGGTGTTACCTGCCAAGCCACTGTGAATTCTGACCCAGCCAAGTCGACCCAGGTACCTGGGGAGAAAAGACTTGGTGATCTGATCTACTTCTGAAAGGTCAGCACTCAGCACAATGGAGCAAAGTATCGGGTCTAACACACGTGGGGTTACTAAGATTGGAACTGACTTAACTCCAACTGGTTTTATTATATACTTCAATCAAACTGAACCCACTCTTCTGACTGTCCAATGAAAAGCACATGGACTTGGGATTCAAATCCAGCTCTATCCTCTCCAAGGTATGTAACTTGAAAAACGTGGACTGTTTGCTACAAGTTGTAGGTTCCCCAGAGCTGCTGTAACAAATCCGGACCATAATTCAAAGGTATCCATCCTATTGTGGTCTTCCTTACTCACTGCCTAGCTTTCAAAGGTCTGTGAGGGGACTAAAACTACCCTGACTTGGGTCAGGCATATCTTCACCCTCACAGTGACAGCTTTGCCCTTTAACATTTTAAGCAGGTCAACTATAGCAGATTTGCCACATGCAATGTCATCTGATATCTTGGACTGCTACTTGCTTCCATGAGTGTGGATTGTTGCGCCAAGAAAAATGAAATCCTTGACAACTATAATTGTCTCTCCCTTTATCATGATGCTATCTATTGATAGAGTTGGTCATGATTTTATTTTCTTCGTGTTGAGTTGAAGTCCACACTGACGGCGGTACTCTTTGATCTTCATTCGTAATTGCTTCAAGTACTCGCAGCAAGCAAGGATGTGTCACCCGCATATTGCATGTTGAGTGAGTCTTCCTCCGATCCTGATGCCTTAGTGTTCAATACCGACTGTATTTCTCTGTCCCTTCCATACATTTATCTCAGTCAAACAGCAGTGAGTTACTAGTACGGTTCAGTTGTAAATCCCAAGGAATCACACAGTACTTCAAGGTCAGATGCAGAGATCAAGACAAAAAATTTTTCCACACAGACAGCCATCTGTTTGAGACAGGAAGGTGCCCTCTTCCCAGATATGATCCACACAAGAGAACCTTATACCTCTGTGGAACATAAAGGCCATAAAGCAGCTTTAGGTGAAAATGATAAGAAGTAAGACTTGTGCTATTCTTTGCCTAATTAGCAAATGATTTGATCATTTATGTGGTACACAACAGATAAATTCCTAGTTCTGCAGCTTACCATAAAACACCAGTCTTTCAGTGTCATAATGTGGAGGTGTGCATGTAGCTCTGATGCTGGAAGCTATTCTACCAGTATCTCAAACAGCAGTGGGGTTAACTCCTGTGCGCGGATTTCCTGAGCATTTCCAGACTAGGCATACTAGGTAACCTACTTCCAAAACCATCCGTGAAAACCTCTGGATCACAACAGAACATTGTCCCATCACGTGCTTTGGACATGTTGTCAAGAACCACAACACTGGGCGTGTAGAGGAATGATGAAGGAAGAGGCATGGTCAGTCTTAAATGTCTCCCAAAGAGAACCTCAGAGTTCCCTTGGAGGGACACCCCACATGCACAAGAGAACCCCTTACCTGGATTAGGCTGAAGGTATTCGATTGTTTTCGTCATGATTTCCATCACAGCCCTACTGGTGACATCCACTTTCTGAAATGAGAAAACCAATATGCTTGACAAATGTGATCTGACTAGCTTTCAAAAAAACCCACCGTGATCAAGTGATTCTGACTCAGAGAAACACCATAGGGCAAACAAGAAATGTTCCTTAGGGTTTCCAATACTGTACGTCTTTATAAGAACAGATGGTCTAATCTTTCTCCCTCAGAGCAGCTAGGGATTTGAATTGCCTATCTTTCTTATGTAGCAACCTAACATCTACCCCACTTCACCACAAGGGCTCCTTAAGATGGGCTTTAGAACCTTAATTTTTGCTTGGGCATATGTTGGAACAAATGTTGGTGGTGCGACAGAGCAGTGGGAGTCCTGAGGGAGAGGAGAAGCAGTCAAGGGGCTGTCAGGACTAGTAACAGCTTTACAGTCAGCATATTCAATCAAATTTTGAAAGCCTACTTCTCTGAAAAGAAGCCCTGCTAGTGCAGTGGGTGAGCCAATGGACTGCTCGCAGAAAGGCCAATGGCTCAGCCCCAGCAGTTATCTCACAGGGAAAGACGGGCAGTTAGCTGTCATGAAGACTGTGGTCCTCCGAAGCCCTGTGGAGCAGTTCTATGCTGGCCTAGAGGGTTGCGATGAGATGGAATCAACTGAATGGCAGTGGATTCAGCCGGGGTTCTTCAGCTGAAGAAACAAGTCCTCCTGGGGAAGTGGTAAAGCTTGGGTCTGATGAAATGTTCTTAGTGTGAACATACCCAGCAGCACGAGGGGCGAAACCCTGGAGGAAATCTACTCTGTGAAGATCTTTAGGGGCAGTTCCACTGTCATGAAGGGGGCGCCATAAGTCAGAATCGATTCAATGGCACATAACAGCATACAGTATTTATCCAAAGAGGAATTTGGTAACCTCCTAAAATTCATTCCCCAATGTATTTAATTATCTTTTGAAAAAACAAAAGAAAGAGAGTAGAGGTAATGAATCATCCAGAAGCACTTCCTGGATGCTGATGGTGGGTCAGGCCATTGGGCCTCCACTCAAGTCCTCCCTCAACCCAAGAACAATTTATTCTACTAACCCGGCACTCTGTGATGTTCACCTTGCCTGACATGATCGCTGAAGACACAGATGGTGCATAGCAAATGTGGTGAAGAAATTTGATGGTGCCTGGCTATCAAAAGATACAGCATCTGGGATCTTAAAGGCTTGAAGATAAATAAGTAGACATGTAGCTGAGAAGCAACAAAGCCACATGGAAGAAGCACACCAGCCTGTATGATCATGAGGTGTCAATGGGATCAAGTATCAGGCATCAAGACCCCAAACAAAAGGCATATCAATGGAATGAGGGGGAGAGCAGAGTCGAGACCCAAAGCCCATCAGTAGCCAATTGGATACCCCTTCTCAGAAGGGCCATAAGTAAGAAAAGAGCCAGTCAGTATGCAGTATAGCACTGATGAAACACACAACTTTCCTCTAGTTCTTTAATGCTTCCTCCCTCTTCACTACCATGACCCCAAATCTATCTTACAAATCTGGCTAGACCAGAACATGTATATTGGAACAGAAAAGAACTTGCAACACAGGGAATCAAGACCAGATAAACCCCTCAGGACCAATAAGGGGAGCAGCAATACTTCGAGGGTAAGGGGGTGGGGGGAATAAGGAGGAACCTATCACAATGATCAACATATGCCCCTTTCCCAGGGGGATGGACAGCAAAAAAGTGGGTGAAAGGAGACAGCGGTTGGTCTAAGATGAAAAAAAAAAATTATAAATTATCAAGGGGACATGAGAGAGGATGGGTGGGGGAGGGAGGCAAAAATGTGGAGTTGATGCTAGCGGCTCAAGTAGAAAGAAAATGTTTTGAAAAAGATGATGACAACATATGTACAGATGTGTCTGACACAATGGATATATGTATGGATTTTGATAAGAGCTGTAAGAGCCCCCAATAAAATTATATATATTTTTTAAAAGGTGGGTAAGGCATCATGGCCGGTTTCTCTGCCTAAAGGTGGGGCAGGCGAAAGCAGCTTCACACTACCAGAGCCTTCCGCTAAGTACTTAACCCTTGCCCTAACCTTCTTTCTTGTAAATAACCCAAACCAATTCTGTGTCTTCAAGTCAGAGAGGGAAACTTTTTATTTAACTTCTGAAAACAAGCTAAAGAAACCCAACTAAACTATAATGATTCCAAGACTATAACTTTTTATGGGAGCAAAATGTCTCATCATTTTCCAGAGAATACCTGGGGGGCGGGCAGGAGACTGAACTGTCAACCTTGCGGTTACCAGCCAATGTGGTAGTTATAGAATCATTTGTCAACTTGAGGATTAAGAGTGTAGGGATAGAGTCTAGTCTGTCTATCAGATCTTCGCCAATGAGGCCTCTGTGTGGGGATGGCCTTCTCTTGAGAATTCTGGGAAATTCTGTTTTTCTTTCTTGGAGGTGGGAGACACTTCTCTCTCTCACTCACTCCTGGGAGACATTGCAGCTGACAAGACACATGGAACTACACTAGTGCCCTGAGCTGGAGAAGCCACATGGACCTACTCTGAAGCATGCAGACCTCTGAAGCCAGAGATGCCATGTAGAGACCCCTGCCAGTGCTGAGATGCTTACAACGCCACTGGATTCAAAGACTTTCTACCCACTGGCCTGTGATTGTCCTGCATTCAGCATCATTGCATGTGTTTCATGAGTCTGAAGAGGACTTTATAGATTGGTATCAGACCTATGGGCTAATATTGGACTTATGGGCTTGGACTGGGTTGAGATGCTTTCTTAATGTACAATAACCCTTTATATAACACTCTCTCTTATACACATATGAGTTTCTATGGATTTGTTTCTCTAGTCTACCCGGACTCACACACCCACAGTGTTACCAGACCTCCATGAGAACAAGGTAAGAAGATAGAAATCCCATGCATACATGTCTTGCCAGCCCTGGAACCTATGGCTAATCTACACAAAGTCTTCAGCTAAGAGTCCAGTGCCAGGACCAGCTGCTGCCAGGACCACCAGCTCATGGGAAGCCCACGTGTGTCAAGCAGAATTGTGCTCCAGAGATGTTTTTAATGACTGCTATTTTGGAGGCAGACGGCCACACCTTTCTTCCCAGGTACTGGAGGAGGCTCAACCCTCCTGCCTTTTGATTAGCAAGTGAGCATGTTGACAGTCAGTCTGTACCACCCAGGAGTCCACACCCCTTTAACCTGCTCAGTGCAGCTGGTCCTCTCTGCCTTCCCTACATGAAATCATTTTCTTATCAATCTGTGTGGTTTACTCATTCATTTTACAGGGCCATGACTGATGAGCATAAACATGTCCCCTTATCTAAGGCTTGTGTGCAGGGACATGTGCCCTTTGCTGTTCTCTAATTAACTAACCATTTGAAAACTTATCTGATAAAATGCAGGTAACTTCCTGGTTCATCATCCTGCACTACCCTCACAATTATTCTTATGTTTGAACCGCTGTGGCAGCCACAGTGTCAATCCATCTTATCAAGGCCTCCTTCTTTTTTGATGTCCTGCCACTTGACCACAAGCATGACGTCTTTCGCCAGGGACTGGTGTCTCCTGATAACATGTCCAAAGTACCTGAGACAAAGTCTCAACATCCTTGCCTCTTAGGAGCATTCTGATTTTCTTTTTCCCCAAGACAAAATCTGTTTGCTGTTTTGGCAGTTCACAATACTTTCAGTATTCTTCACCATCACCATAGTTCAAACAAATTGCTCTTTCCTCGGTCTTCCATACTCCAAGGTCCAACTTTCCCATGCATACGAGGTAACTGAAGGTATCATGCTGGGGTCAGGCACAGCTAGTCCTCAAAACAGCATCCTTCCTTCTCAACCCTTTCAAGAGGCCTTTTGCAGCGGATTTACCTAATGTATTGTGTCATTGGATCACTGCTTCCATGAGCATGTGGGGCTCACAGCAAACTATCAATAACATTGCAGAGAATAGGAATTCCAAAACACTTCATTGACTATGTACACACAGAAACTGTACATAGACAATGATTCTGTGTCAGGGTTCTACTCTTTCACTGTATTTGCTCACTATCTGTGCTGAACAAATAATTCAAGAAGCTGACCTATAAGAAGAATGTGGCACCAGGATTGGAGGAAGGCTTAGTAACAACACTTTGATATGCAAATGGACAGTCCTGCCTGGAGGAGGCCTTGAGCACTTGGTGATGAAGATCAGGGCTACAGTCTTCCGCGTGCACTACAAATCAATGCAGAGAAAATCCGAGTCCTCACAACTGCACCAAAAGACAACAGTATGCTAAAGGGATAAAAGTTTGAAATTGTCAAGGATTTCGTTTTACTTGTATCCATAATCAGTGCTCACAGAGGCAGCAGTCAAGAAATCAAATGCATATTGCATTCAGCCAATCTGTTGCCAAAGATTTCTTAAAATGTTTAAAAGGAAAGATATCACTCTAAGGACTAGGGCGGGGGTCCTTAAACTTTTTAAACAGGGGGCCAGTTCACTGTCCCTCAGACCTGTTGGAGGGCCGGAATATAGTTTTTTTTAAAAACTATGAACAAATTCCTATGCACACTGCACATCTTATTTTGAAGTTAAAAAAAAAACCCAAACAGGCCAAAAACACCCGGCGGGCTGGATAAATGTCCTTGGCAGGCTGCATGTGGCCCGCAGCCGTAGTTTGAGGACAACTAGACTAAGGTGTGCCTTACACTCAAGTCATGGTATTTTTGATCACCTCACATACATGAGAATGCTGAACAATGAATAAGAAAGGCCAGAGCCTCATCGATGCATTTGAATTACAGTGTTGGCAGGAGTATCATGGATTGCAAGAAGAATAAATACATTTGTCTTGGAGGAAGTGCAGCCTTGAAGTGAAGATGGGAAGACTTTGCCTCACACACTTTGGGCATATTATGGAGAAAGACCAGTCCCTGGAAAAAGACATCCCACTTGAGGATTCTCACGGAGATGGATTGAAACAGTGGCTGCAACGGTGGGTGCCACGCATTAACCATTATAGGGATGGTGTAGGACCAGGGAGTGGTTAGTTCTATTGGACATAGGGTCCTTATGAGTCAGTCGCCAACCAACAATGAACAGCAATAACATCCATTCTTGTGCACTTCTTAGACTGCCACTGATTTCTTTTAATTAATCTTTCCTGGGATGGGGGGTGGAGAGCCCTTTGGAAAGCTGGTTATAAGAGTTGAGATAGTAAAATAGTGAGATGGCATACACAAACATGGATATGTTTTGGGGAAATAAAAGCACCCCTGTAAGGAACAGGGTTTTTGAAAAAACCCAAACTGTAATATTATAATCTTCTGGTCTTTCCCCCTCTAATTTTACCAACAAAACACAACGCTTGAGAGTCAAGATGTTCCTTCTCCACCATCCATATTTGTCATTTACAACTAGGGGTAGAGCGAAAAACCATTATTCAACTCCCTTGGTCATTGTAATGTTACTCTTCCTCCTGGGAAGGCCACACAACAGTTGCATGGATTCCGACTCCTGGTGCCTCTTGGTGTGTCAAAGGAGAAGTGTGCGCCACCGGGCCAAGTTGTCAAAAGGTGGTCACCAGGCCTTTCTTGCAAGGCCCCTCTGCGTGGTCTCAAACCTCCAACCAAAGAAGGAAAGGCCATAGCTGGCCTATTGCCCATATTCAGGTTTTTAAGTGGTTGAAAAAATTCAAAAGAAGAGTTGTACTGCACATAATAATCACATAAAATTCAAATTCCCGTGTCCTTGTACCACATGTGACGGGGCATTGCGATGCCCTTGGAGTTAGCTGTCAGTAGCTGCTTTCACACGTCAGTCACAGAGTCAGCAGGTGTCAGCAGAAGCACCGGGGGTCTGGGCAACAAAGCCTCAAACACTGAGGAGTAAAATGCTGCCAACCCCCGTGCTGAGGGGCTAGTTTCAGTGAGGATGATAATGCTCATCATTTCACCACCTAGTTCAGTCCTTAGAGAAAAGACAAAAGATAACGGAAAGGCACTAAAATGAGTAGAATGGGGTTATTGTTCCCATAAATAAACACTGCCTCTCTCCCCGGGAGTGACTCCAGCTCAGAGTCTTCTGTGCTTCCATGGAGGCGTAGCCAAACAGCTTGACATTCCTTGTAGAGCAAGGGAAATACTGAAGGTAAGAATGCATCCTAGGAGATAGCACACTACAGTAAGTAACCTGGAGTTACAAATGTCCGATTATGACTTACACACAACTTGTACTTGACCTTTTAACACTATAGGAATTTGCCCTGAGTCTGAAAAGAATGAACACCAATTGCTATTGGCAACAGAGTCTTCATCAAAATCACCTTCACTTTTTTTACATGTGCAGTTTTTAATCACTGAAAAACTCAAACTCTGCCACTGAGTCAACTTCTACTCAGTGGCCTTATAGGACAGAGGAGCTGTCGTGTGGGTCTCTGAGACTATAAATTTCCACAGGAATAGAAAGCCTCATCTTCTTCTGGCAAAGTGGCTGCTGGTTTCAAACTGCTGATCTTGTGACTAACAGCCCAATGTGTGACCTACTAAGACACCAGGGCTCCTTTTGCACTACAGTAAGGCTAACTAAACACTCTATGTTCCACTTACCTACAAACACCACTTCATGACACTTAGCAACTGACCCCATTTATCAAGCGGAGGTGTTCTGTGTATCAGAGACTGTAATTGAGAAGCAGTTGCAATGTTTAAGAAAATGTGTTGGTGTTAGTTGGTGTCCAGTCAATGCATGTCAACGTGATGTCCAATCAACTCTAGAGCATGTTAATGTAATGTATAACAGAACAAAATGTTGCCCAGTCCTATGCCATCTTCCTGATATGTTGGAACCTACTGCTGAGGCCAGTGTGTCAACCCATCTCATTAAGGGTATCCCTTGCTTTCACTGACTCTCTGTTTATCCACCATGATGGGTTTTTTTTATACTGGTTGCTCTTTCCTGATGAAGTAAGAGAGCTAAATGTTTTGCCATCCTACTTCCGATGAGGATGAAGATCGTATTCCTTCTAAGGCTGATTTGTTGGTACATGTGTCAGTCTAGTTCAGGGCAGGGGTCATCAATAAGAAACAGATGATCTAAGCATTCACTTGGACACAATGTAACTCACACGGTTATATAAAATAATGCTAAGAATGTTATATGCAACACCAAGATGTTTTCAAATTCTGGATTTTCCACCACCAAGGTTAAGAAAACATAATTACTAAGAATGGGTTAGACATCCACTTACAGTGCAGAGAATTCCAAGCCAGAACAACTAAGTTAACAAGGCATAGAGACAGGAGCAAAGCAGCATGCAGGGAGAGTTTGCCTGGCAGTGAGATGCAGGCTAGGCTATCCCAATCATGTGTTGTAATAGTTCCCTACAATCTCAGAAGAGTTACATGTGTCTGTCCCAATCTGTCTTCCTTTCAAGCAGTTACTTTTCAGACTCAGAAAGCTTGATTAATGAACAGTGTGATTAAAAACAAAAGTTAATAAGGCCCTAAGCTGAAAATGTCACAATGGAATTCTTTTGGTGACTCTTCTTTGATGGATATTAACTAAGAAATCTTTCGTTAGCAAGTGATTTAAAGGAAATTTGTTTTCACTGAATTTCAGAATAAGCAGAATTATCTTATTTGGGCACTCACACTTGTCATAATTCTACACTGTCTTATGGTAATAATTCACATTTTCTCTTTAACTACCCTATCCATGAAGACATTCAAGGGCATGGCAGACACTCAAAGGTGCACTTGGGGATAAGTAGCTCTGCACTTGAGCTGTTTAACCAGAATCCCTCTTTGTACGGAAGACAAGTTCCTGTCAAGAGAACTCCACGTGGAATAGACTTACCCTTTCCATTTCTTTGAAGTCATCATCTAGCTTGGTTCCTTCAGCTCCCCCAACCTTCTCACTCACTTTCTGTCGGGAAAAATGCCAAAAATGGGAGAATTATTATAAATATTCCTTTTAAAGGGGAGCATTACACACTTCGAGTGCTTTCACAAGCATCCTATAAAAGCAACCCCTAACCACTCCACAAGGACTGAAGTACACAGCCCCACATTCACAGTAGGGAGCCCTGACTCAGGGTGTAAACAACTCACCAAAGGTGATGTGGCCGATAAGTGATGAGGCGAGGAGCAAGCCTCTATCTTCTGACTTATAGCCTGGGGCCCTTTCTATGACACACATCACCAAATAATGCCCTAATAACGAGCATTTCCTTTTCAAAAGTTCAGCAGATCATACAATGGCAGCATACAGTACTAATTTCACATTGATAATGGATATAAAAATGCTACCTAGGTAGAAAATTGCTACTTCTTCAACCTATTTCTCAATGGGCTATTCAACAGATAATGACTGCCATCTATCAAACTGGTTTACAAACCAGCCAGCTACATTGTCACATAAAATGACTCAAATAATAAGTCTTATAAAGCTTCCTATGGGCACACAAACATATCCTTACACACATGAGATGAATTATAAGGAAAATCACCTAGGTCATGTCGGTGCTACCAACTCATTTTCAATGATCATACATTATATAATCAACATCTAAAATAAGAAAAGTCATTTTTCTAGATGTAAAATTACTGTTCACCAGAAAACTAGATATATTAGTGTTCTAATCCTGAAACAAAGAGTCCAACTTTTAGTTTAATCAATATGTATGATGGGATCACAAGACAAACACTTCTATTTCATTAAAGACAGGAATAAAGCAAGAAAAACAAACTCACTGCCCTTGGTACTGACCCTATAGGCTAGAATAGAATAGCTCTGGTGAGTTCCCCAGACTAATTCTTTGCAGGAGTAGAAAGCCTTGTTTCCTCCCAAGGGTCGGTTTTTCGAATTGCCGACCTTGTGGTTGGCAGCCAGCCCATATCCAACCACTGCTGACAGGAATCGGAACTCCCAGTGGACACAAAACTTCCTTCTTCCACCTAAATGTACAGATATTTACATGCTTTTCACTAAGATGATACTGTATAACATATACTTATTGCACACAGATATCAAAATATGATATTCCCTATCCTCCCCTGGCTGTCTGGTTAAGTGTAAGGGCCCCTGCATGGGAACCCCACCATGGCCAAAGCTGGAACCTCGGTAACAAATTGAGTCATCTATTGCACGTGGCCACCCTCCTTCTGAAGCAGTGCTGGGCACCTCGCTCTTTCTCCTGACCATGGAGACTCTAAAATGTTCTTGTTGAGGTCGGGTGAGATGTATGTCTCTGTCTCTCTCTCTCTCCTCCCTGTTGATAGCTGCAGAAGTAATAGGGTGTGCTGAAAGGATAGCAGGTGGACTGCTGCCTTTACTTTTGGCTTGGCAATCTAGCTTTCTGAGTTGTTAAAAATGAATAAATAAATGACACAATAGATATACGGACCTGTGTCTGAACCAACAAGGCATGCCAAAAATCCTAGTTTTCTCTCTCTCCAGTAAAGTGTGTATCTACTTACAGTATCCTAGTTTCCCCCATCTGTTAACTGCTCTTTCATACTTGGGACAAGTCCTGGTGGTGTAGTGGTCACTTGCTGGGCAGCTAACTGCAAGGTAAGCAGTTTGATACCACCAGCCACCGCACAGAAGAAAGACGGTGCTTTCTTCTCCTGTAATGAAACCCACAGGAGCAGTTCTACCCTGTCTTACAGGGTCACTGTGCGTTGAAATTGACTTGTTAGCAGTGAGTTTGGTATTTCATACTTAGAGAGGAATCAAGTGATTTTCATTAACATAATACAAAGGACAGCAATTGTAAGTGGACAGTGAATAAAAACAATATGACTATTTCTAATTTAAATAGGTACATGCTTTCCTTTCGATGCATTATGTGCTCTTGGTAGTCCACAAAACTACAAAGAGCAGAAGCGGGACAGCAATGCTGCAGAAGGGAGAGCGTGGCACTTCTTACATTATCTGTCCAAGGTAGTGGGCTGAATGCAGTTTTCAGATGCTAAGCACTAGGCTTCTTGGTATTTGCACCAGGGCTTTGGAGAGCTGTCCATGGTGCTGGCCCTTCCTGCATGTACTCCATTTGATCCCCATGGCCAGGTTGGATGATGTGTAGCCTGAACTCTTGATCCCTGACATCACTGCTTTCCCTAAACCAGGGCCCTGAGTGATGTGAATGTCACCTTCATCAGCATTATGTGCATGCCCAGGCTCTGTCTGACAGCCATTCTACCTAACACAATGTCTCTCTAACTTGTGAGATGCCCCAGCAATTGACTTCCCTGACTGCATTCTTAAGGGGAGAAGGAAAAAAAAAAATGACATGCCAGAAAGAGCAGGAGGTAGAATTCTGACAAGAACTTAATGGATTTCTAAGTACCAGAGACTTGTCTAGTTTAAGTTGCAGAAAATCAGAGAGGAAGGTGCCCTAAAGCTTCTCCTGGTCACCAGGCTGAGCACCAAGGAAGTAAAATTCTATTCTGTCACAGATTCCCTCCAATGTTGCTCAGAAACCACAGGTTTAACCTGTACATTAGCTCCTACCTACAACTGTCAGCTGACTTGACTGTATCCAATGTCTGGGAACTCACTACCACCCCCAAGGCCCCATGACTGTCAGAAAGGATCACTACAGACAAAGCCCTCTGCTTGCTAAGTCACAGTCTTAGAAACCCAGAATAGGGTTGTTCTCAATTGGCATCAACTTGATGGCTGTGGGTTTGTTTTTAGTGGTACATGGGAACGAGACCCATAGCAACATTAAAGAAAACTGGTAACATTGGCTTACCCACGTTTTTGGCCACATTCAGAGACTAAAACATGAATATCTTCAAGAGCACAAGGGCCGGTCTCACATTTTCCATCCTGTGTCACTCGACTGAGAGGGATTCCCATTTCCCTCCCTTCACACCGACTAGCAACTCAGCACTACAGCAGCTGGCTCACTGCACCCAACGGGCTCACTCTAGCTATTAACATTAATAATTTGGAACTGGTTCAAGTAGTCCACATTGAGCCTATTGGCTCCAACTACTCACATTTGGTTTTCCAGCACTTGTGTATGTGCATGTGCGTGTGCGTGTGAGCGTGAGCAACAGAGAGATTGAGATGAATTTCTGTTCTCTATGTAAACTGATATTTGAGCTGCTGAGAAAAACAGTGCCATAAACATAACACATGACGCTAGCAGATGCTAGTAATGGTCTATTCAGTTGGCTGATAGAAAAAATTCTCTTATCTAATTAGATTCCTAGAAATAAGTAATATTGAAAGTGACATCTACATTGTGCTCTGGGCTATTTTTTCCCAAGCCAGAAAGGATCTGAATATATCAAGGCACTGCATGAACCAGAGGGATAAATAACAACTGACTCATCCCTCAGGACTTTTGCAAGTATTTTCTCCTCCTCATCTGTAAATCATGTCCCGACTACTTTCCACAGTGAGCCGCACAGAAATGAAGGGGAGGAATACAGATTCCTCCAGCCCCTCTCGCCAAGGAGTTATGGTTTCATCCTTTAAGCCCATTTATTTCAGAATAGTTTGCCCTACAATTTTCCAGTGAGATGATTCCTAAAACTAAGGTTTCATGGAATTGAATAATTTCTTATGCAGATTAGACTCTCACAAATGTGCTTGTAATTTGAGGAACTGAGGCTCTATTTAAGTAAAGACCAGCAAAGGGTATTGGAATCAAAAAAGCCAGACATGTGGGCCAAAATACCCCACTATGCCCCATAGGACCTCCTGAAAACTTAACATACTCCTTGGTCCAAGAGCTTCACGGGCATCTACGTAGCACAATAGAGAGAGTTTGTCTCCTAATCTTATCTGCCATCACACTCTCTGAATGCATGGGGCCCTGTACATGGCTGGAGAGAACTGTGCTTCATAGGGTTTTCAATGACTGACTTTAAAAATTAGGACACTGTTCTTCTAAGGAGCCCCTGAGGAGACCAGCACTCCCAACCATCTGAACAGCAGTCAAGTTCATTAACCACCCGCACCAGCCAACACCCCTCCATGCACGCTCTATCCTGGGTCAAACTAAAAGATTCGCTTTACCTATCTTATTATTCTTCTCTGTTCATCTCACAGCAAGTGCTCAGTAAAGGTTTCTTAAACAATACACTGTTCTGAATATTAACGTGATGGTGAATAGTCAATGTTAAGACGGAATATACCACGGCAACGAAGGCTAATTACCCTACCTGGGGTTGGTCTTTAAAGAGGCACACATTTTCTTTTCTTTCTTTCTTTTTTTTTTTTGAGGCACACATTTTCAAATACGAAAATAAAAAGATATGTCCAACTTATATTTTAAATTAAATGTTTTAATCTCTAGTCTATTGTCTCAGGCTTACTATTTTTCTCTGAAGACCAAATAATAAACACATCACAAGGAATCAGTAACAAGCAATGGCTGAAAGAAATGACCAGTTCCCGCCAGAAGGCAAGGGGCACGGGTTTTCCACAGTGACTCATCCTGCCCCCGTGTTCACTGTCCGCTGCCGGACAGAGATGCTCCATCTAGCTGAAACTCCAGTTCTTCCCGGGCATCACATTTCATCTGCTAACCACTTTAACAGCCAACTACCATGCCTCCAAATGCTCTTTATGAAAGTCTCCTTGAAAATCGCCTCATCAGGGAAATTCAATCGACTTAAAATCAAAGCCACTCACTTCTTACACCCAAGAAGCTCTTGTGCCTCCCAGCTTCTGTTTTTGCTGAGCTTTATCGCCCAAATTCATCAGCAGCAGGAGCCCCTGTGGTGCTCTTGGTTAAGCATCGGCCTGCTAGCCATGAGGTCCACGGCTCAGACTCTCCAGCCACGCCTCTGGAGAGAGACTAAGGCTGCCTGCTCCTGTGAAGCTTTACAGTCGCAGAAACTCTGTCATGCTGCCATGAGTTGAAATCAACTGGTATTGAGACTTTTACTTACCATCAAAGGATT